CAAGCAGCAGCCCCTGTCCCCCTGCAACCCCGCGGCTAACCCCCTGTCCGGCAGCCTCTCCACACACTCCCTGGACCAGCCCTATCTGCACCAGAACAGTCACAACGCCCCAGCTGAGCTGCAAGGTGAGTGGGGAGTCTGGGCGGCCCGGACATCTCTGAGTGCACTGCGCGGACCCAGCGCCCCAGTTTGCTGCCGGCCCTTGGTTGAGAGCCTGCAGCCACTTCCGTTGGGTGCCAGCTCCACACTGCGGTGTCCCTCGGCCCCACCTCTCTCCGTTTGAGGGGTGAATGCAACTTGGGTCCTGACTTGGGTCAACATGTCGTTTCTCTTTTTCTTTCCCCAACGCTAGGCTGCTGGCCTTGGGGAGCATGGCCAGGTCCCACCAAAAAGGCTCAGATCCAAACAGTCTAAGTTGCTCCTGATCCCTTAGGTCCCCTCACACCTCAGCAAGCTCCCAGGATGGAGATGGGGCCCGGCTAGCCAGCTGGCTCACCCTCCAGGGTGGCCCCTCAGACAGCGGAGAGCCGCCTCTGCTCCTTGCCCTGGCAGAACGGAAGGGTTAGGCCCAATGCCGCCTGGGCCTGGTGCGCAGAAGCTCAGCGCCCGGCCTTTCAGAGAACCAGGCCTGGCCTTGTGACGGCTGAGCCAGGGGCATTCGTGGGGACCGAGGCAGAGAGGTCTGTGCCAGGCCCAGAGCGAGGGTCAGAGCTGCTGGCTCCGCAGGCCCTTTGTTTCTCAGGACCCAGGTTTTCGGGTCCTCGGGTGCCCTCTCCCCATCCCTCGGGGGAAGATGAGAAAAACCTCCCCTCCTGAACTCCTGCCTCGTTCTGGCAAGAGCCTGGAGGGAGCTTAGCAGGGGCCTCTCAGGGGTCAGCTGTCAGCAGCGGGTGGGAGGCAGGAGCCGGGCCTGCTGGCTGAAAGGCCACTTCTCTGGAGGGATCTGGGGTTGCCCTGCTTGGGCTGCTTCAAACTCCTGGGCTCTTGCTGCCCGGGTGGCCCTGTTCTCCAAGGGGGGCTTCCTCAGAGAAGCCGCCCTTCGCCCCTGTGATGGCCTGTGCTTCCTGCTCCCGGTGCCTGCCTCTGGCTGCGCGGAGGCCTCCACAGCCTTCGGGCTGGGGAAGTGGCTGCCCTGGCGCCAGGCCGCCCGAGAGGTGGACGCTGCGGGGCCCTCCATGGCGGCGTCTGCAGACCCATCTGGGCCCCCACCCCACCCCTTCCATTTAGGCATCGGAAGCCCCCCAGCCCACGCTCTGTGTCCAAAGCGGGTGCAGGCCCGGGCAGGGGTGCTCCCGGGAGCAGGGATGTCTCCGGGTGTTCCAGGCTCTTCCCCTGGGGCGCACAAGCCCGGGCCCAGTCAGGGCTGGGAACTCGGGGACTCTGGGGTGGGGGTGGAGAGTGGGGAGGATGGGGCCCTGCGCCCAGAGCGCCTCGGGCAGAGCTGCTTGTCCATCTTAAACTCTCCCCCCTTGTCCCCTCCCTCACAGGCATCCCTCGGTATCACTCGCAGTCACCCAGCATGTGTGACCGAAAAGAGTTTGTCTTCTCTTTCAACACCATGGCGTCCTCCTCCATGCACTCCGCCGGCGGCGGCTCCTACTACCACCAGCAGGTCACCTACCAAGACATCAAGCCCTGTGTGATGTGAGCCGGGAAGCCCGCGGGTCCCTGGCACGGCCGCCGTCGGAACAGGGACCTGGGAACCCACCCCTAGAAACTGCTTTATTCTCGAGGTATAACCGTCGGCAGAAGAAAAGGGTTTGACCCCTCCCCAACCGGATTATTTCAAAAGGAACCCCCAGGGCAAAGAAGCGGCACAGAGGTTGGCACCTCCTCTCCTGTTCCCTCAAAATATTTTAAAAATGGTGGCGTTCAGGCCTAATCTGACTGCAGCTGTTGGTAAATAAATCTCTCCTTTTTTTTTGATCCGATTGAAACAGGCTGAGAAGGTGCTGTGTTGGGGGAAAACCCTCAACATCTAAACAAAAATTCTGCTGAGGTCTCTCCCCCCCGCCCTTAACCCTTTAATGGAAAAAGTGAAGGGGGAGACTTTTTAGAAGAAAGGCAAACGCATGAGACCATCACTATCAAATACTTTTATTTGGGGGTTGAGTATTTATCGTTTTTAACTTTCTTTGGGAAGAATGTCTTGGAATGCGCACGTCCCGTGGTAGAGCCGCGTTTGCAGGGAAGGGGTGGGGGGGCGAGAGGCCAGCTCTCCCTCCCCACCTCGGAAGCCCTGCAGCCGCAGGTGGATCTCTGTGCGCAGGATTTGCGTTTCTGAAGCCACTGTTCGTCTTGTTTTTGTTTTTTAAAAAAGAAACCAATGGAGCCCAGAAGCGGGCGGCTCTCCGGGCCTCGGCCACCCCCCTCCGCCTTCCTCTTCTTCCTCCTCTGCAGTCTTTCTGGTCTTGTTTCGAATTTTCCGTGGACTTTTTTTGGAGGGTGTTTTTCTGTCTCCTGACCTCTACTGTAACCTGGTGCGAACGCGGCACGAACACGGCCCGACGCGGGACGGGGAGGCCCGGCCAGCGCGCGAATTCAGGATTGCGGCGATGCAGAAAGGTTAAGGCACTTTTTAAAACTATAGCAAGGCTCATCCTGTTATTTATTCTTTCTTTCCTTAGTAATCGAAACACCGCATAGGCTCCTCCGTTTATCAGTATTAATGGTGTAACTTTGTTGGCAATATTTGCCGCGTAGAATTTTTTTTTTAGATATCCATTGTAAATTTGAAACAAAGTCCAATGTGTGTAAAAACAAATCCCCATATGTTTTATATAAATATATATATAAAATGAAGGACTACCCCCTTTTTTTCTAGTATTTTGGCTGCTGGGGTGCAGCGTTTGTGACACGTATTTTAAATTTCCTTCTGCACTGTATAAAATGACAATTTGAGGATGTTTTGCCTTTTGTGTATTTTTTTTCCTAAAAAAAGAACAAAAATAAAAATGTATAACATTTGTACATGGCCTTTAACATTGTATCAACTAGAAATAAAATCGCATGAGTATTTCATTGGGATTGCAGAATATCTTCCACCCCAAATACAGACAGAAACCGGCCTGGGATAGACAGACTTTCTTTTTTTTGTATTTAAAATATGGGTGATTCTCCCTCCTTTTTTCTTTTTCATTTTTTGGCTAATCCTCTCCTTTTCGCTTTTCATTTCACGTTGAAGTGAATTCTGGACACGAGGAACTATTTTTCTTGGCTTCTGTTTTTTAAGAAGAGCCCTCTGCCCCTTTAAATGTCATTTCTCTTTTTAAAGAAATAAACGTTTGAAGAAGAACTAGAGTCCTCCTTCTCCCAGGGAAGACCACATATATGTAAAATATACATAAATATATAAAAATTATATTCTTTTTTTTCCCATTCCAAGACCAATGAAAGTTTTACTTTGAATTTCAGACTTTACTGTTCCAATATCCCAGAAGCTATAAATCATGAAAGAACTTTTATGTTTTTGTAGTTGCTTTTTTTTTTGGTGCCCTACACTTGTTTTTCCCAAGTCAGGAATTGAGTAAAATGTGTGTAAAAAAGCGCCATTAGTGGGAGAACAACGTGATAGGCAGGTTTCCAATCCCTTAACATTTCCCTCTAGATCAGCGGTTCTCAGCCTGTGGGTCGCGACCCCTTTGGGGGTGGAACGACCCTTTCACAGGGGTCGCCTAAGACCATTGGAAAGCACATATATAATTACATATTGTTTTTGTGATTTAATCACTATGCTTTAATTATGTTCAATTTGTAAGTGAAAATACATCCTGCATATCAGATATTTACATTATGATTCATAACAGTAGCAAAATTACAGTTATGAAGTAGCAACGAAAATAATTTTATGGTTGGGGGTCACCACCACATGAGGACCTGTATTAAAGGGCCGCGGCATTAGGAAGGTTGAGAACCACTGCTCTAGATCCTCAGGGGCAAGAGAACATTTTTAGGAGCCTGTGTCCTCTGCTCACCACCCTCTTTCTATTCCCATTCCCGCTATTCGGGAAAACAAACACAATAAAGTCGCATTGTTGGTGCGGCCGTTCAAGACCCACCGCAGTTTTTCTGAACCTGGCTCTTCTCAAAGTTGACATTTTGGACGTGAGGGTAATTTCTCCGGTGCTCTGTTACATCAAAATTATCAATAAACTCGCCCGGGCAATTAATGTCCCAACCTAACAGCTGTCTATAAAACGGAGATAAAGGGGACAGGAAAAGACTGGTGACTCCGTGTCCCTTGGGGTCTCGGGCGGGCCGAAGAGGCGGCGGGGGTCTCCCGGGCGAAGCGCGCTGTCGCCTGCGCGCGTCGGCCCTGTGCTCCCTGAGCAGGTTCGCCGCGATGGAGACGGCACTGCTCTCCCAGAAGGGATCGTCTCTCCTCTTCCCGCGCCTCCCACGGGCGCCCAGGAAATCAGGGCCCGAGAAAAGCCCCCAGGTCTCCAGCGCTCTCACCCAGACAACCTCCGCAGGCAAGGCGGGCCTCCTCCCCTCCGGAGACTGCGCCCCAATTAGCTCGGAGGCTCCGGGGAAGTGGGGCTGATTAGGAGAAACTCAATGCCGCCCAGCCGGCGCGCTCCCCGGTCTCCTGCGGCCCCTCCAGCCCCCTCGCCCGCTCGCTTGGACCTTGGCGCGCCAGAGGCCGAGGTGCGTCCCCGTGGCGCGTGGCTTTGGCGCCGCTGCTGTGCCAGATGCCAGGGCGGCAGCGGATCGCGGCTTCCAGTTCATCTCCCGGTGGCGCCTGCAGTTCCGTGGGATCTCCCAGCGCGTCCCCGTCCGGGGTGCAGGAACGCCTCCCGGAGCCCTGGGATGGGCCTACCTGCTGTTTTCCGGCTTGACTTGGGGCCTGGGGGCGACAGAAAAGTCCAGCCTTCCCCTGGCAAACCTGAAAGGGCCAGATTCCGCAGGCAAAATTGCCTCCACACCCTCATCCGAGATTTCATGCTGCTGCTGCCGCCGCCGCCACTGCTGCGCGGGACAGAACTCACTGGCATTGTGTCTCCCAAGGCCCGTTTCAGCCTGGGCTCGCACCCTGGGCTGCTGGGCGAAGCTCCCACTGTCCTGCGCTGCGTGCGATGAAAGGGTGACCGTCATGTGCAAGGTAGAAGCGTAACGTGTACGGCCTTTTGAGTCCGGTGCAAAATCACCGGCCGGTGGGCATACGTGGGAATCCTTCTAGCATAGGGACAGCCTCCACAGGATCAATTAAAAATATTTGCGCTACTTTTAGGAAGTTTGTCTTGGAACAATGCAGTCCATTACACGCCCTAAATGTATGCAATTCCACCCCTCAATGTATGCAATTCCACCCCTCCATGACAAAAGGCCCAGAGGCAGGGAAGTAGCAAGGATGTATGCCACAGGGTTTCCGCTCCTGGATCACAAATCCCGCAGATTTTGCGGTTTTCCAGGAGGGGCCCATGCTGTGGGTGCACCTGAGCTTCAGCGGCCCGCCCTATGCACCCTCTGGCAGCAGAAATGCCCAGCGAGGCCTCTGAGCTCCCCAGGCGTAGGTGGACAAGAACGCAGCCCCAGCGGCAAGGCCACCGCCCTGAGCTCACTCCCAGGGCCAACGTTGGACGCCAGCGCCCGGACGGACCGCTGGAAGACACTCAGGGTGTGCACTTCTGATGAGAAAGCGCCCGGCCCACTGAGCTCCGCAGTGTCCCCATTTTCTTTTCCCTTTGG